GAGTCTGCACTCTAGACTAAAGCCCCGTTTTCACTGAGCAGTGCGGTATGGTTCAGTTTGGTATGCATTTTTTCCGTTTCCACTGTGAAAAGATGTGTATGGTACCAATGGAAACATTGTGTAGTGTTAAACCTCTGTCAGGGTACCTAGCACCGGATCTGGTACTAAAGGTGGAGCTGTGAGGTGCAGACTTCCATCTGTGTCATCGGTAATGAGGAAATACAGTAAGTACTGGTCGGAGCAGTGAGTGACAACAACCCCGCCCACATTTAAGAGTACTGTTTGCAGTGGAAACACTAGGGTCTAAGTACCATGTCTGAAGGGTTACTTTTGGTTCCAAAGGTACCATACCGAAAGTGTTTGGTGGAAACGGGGCTTCCATAAATAATTAAATTACCATCGAGTTGACAATGATGAGACAATGTCTTTCCGATGAAGAGCATGAAATTGGAAATGCCACCTCTGTGGTAATTCCGTTCTTTATGGGAGCTTCGTCTAGTGTGTGGACTCTGTTTTTTTTGTCTTTGAATGATCTCTTGTCCCACCTATGTCACATTTTGGTAGCAGATGAAAAATGACATTGGATCACATGTTTTGTTGCTACAGCATTCAGTAAACAGACTACTTAAAACAATCAAAACAGGCTCAACAATGTCAAGAGCTTTTCAATAAAGGTAATTCTCTTCAAGGTGACAGCATTGAGAATGTCTATAATATCATATCCTTCAATAGCCACCTCTGACAAAAGCAGAGCCCGGTAAATACGGATGTGTCTTTTCTTCACAGGTGTGGGGTATAAAACCGCCTCATGGGGGACCAATCTCGGTGTTGGCATTTGTATGGGTGGGAACTACGGCGAGCGAAAGACAAACTCATGAATATAAATAAGTGTTTGTATGGATTATTGTGTTGGATGTGGATGGCCTTTAATGAGGGAGGAACACAGAAAGGAAGAGAGTGAAGGTGACTGACAGAGAGAAATAGAGACATGCAATGAGACAGAAGCAAAGAAAGAGAAAGTCCTGGGAGGTTGTTACCAACTTCAATCTGCCCTTTTGAAACCAGCACAATGTATGCAGTACAAGCCAGCTAATAAATATGCATCAAGGATCTCAGAGGACAGATCCTCTCTGTTGTTGTTTTCTGCTGTTCAGCTCACCATTCATAGTTTATTGTGCCTTTTGTCATGTAACACATGTTGAAGATATTGTAATGCATCAGACAAAATGGAAAAAGGGAACATAGCGTTGAGTGTTCAGAAGGGCTGCGTAAAATAAAAAAATCTGAATGAATGCAAGAGATAAAAGGTAGAAGACCGAACCATATATCCCCAAAGATCTGTCCATACAATATACGTAACACAGTAATTTATCATAAACTGTATCTCATTGAATAAAAATGAATGCTTTATACCTATATTCTACAACAGTTAGTTCCATCCAATTTGATATTATGAGGTGCTGTTTTCTGCTGTAGAGTGAGTGACTAACCGACAGCTACTTGACAGAGACAGCAAACTAGATGGCCAAACACAAGCATGATGCTTAATGTATCAAACTGTGTGGACCTTGAACCAATGACTAAGGAGAAATCTGGACCCTGTGGCTGGACCAGATGGGAACCACTACCTTAGATGACTGTATGCTCTAGGACCTCTCGTCATTGTGGTGATTCACAAATGTTGGAAAACCTGTTCTATTGACTGGTTTATACCATCATTGCTTAAGATTCTGAATTTGATACGGTCATGTGTAAAGTATATTTCTGAAATAGGCCTTTCTCCAAATTTAGCATTTTCCAAGGAAGACATGTAGGACATGCAAATATTATCGGCTTTTAATACCATTATGTGGACATGTATACAGTGCATTCAGAATATGCATCTCACACTGCCTCTTGCCTGTTTACCAGGGCTCTGTGTGTTGTCATGAATGGATTGTACACAAACCAACTCGCCAAATGTTTGCAAGGCTGGGGCAGAGATGCAGGCCTAAAAGAAAAGTGCACATTTCTGGTCTGATAGAGAAACACACCTACTGTTAAACATTATGAAAGACTTGGATATCAACAGGTTTTTGGATATGCCCAAATATTGCAACACCAACCTTTACAAGAAGGTGGCTGACGGAATGAAAGAGGGAGACTGTGTTTGGTCGAACAAGTCCGCCACCGGTAGGTAGTTTTGAAAAAAGCCTATTTTGATGCAAAGAGGCAAACGGACAAGCGGCTCCAGCTGTTCTTCATTTATATTTTGACATGATAAAGGACATGTTATGGCACCTTGATCTGAGAATGCACAGCTGCATGTAAACGGGAATATTAGTGGAATATTAGTTTTCATAGTCATGTACAAGGCTAAGAAGAAATATTGTACTTTTCAGAATAAGAGGAAACACCAGATTATCTTATCCCTGTAAACTGAATGACTGGTGACTCCTCACTTCTCTTAAGAGGCCCGTAGGGGCAGCAGGCTTTCCAGAAATCTGCTCAGCTCAAAAACAACAAGCCTTGCCGTCTGTTGCAGGCCAAATGGCCTTGGCCTTCGTCATGACTCACAAACTGACATCCATAGAAAAGTTTGGCCTAATTTTGAACCTGAGCATCTGCAGAATAATTCCATACCCCATATGTTATAATCCAATAAAGTTCGGCGCAATACGCTGCAATACAAGATGAATTACCTCCTCGTTTTGTTATCCTTGTCGCCATCTTGACTAAGGGGAGGTGGATTATTTTGTCGGCTCAATGCTGTAGACTGGGAGATTGTGTTACTTTGGTCATTTTTCTTTGATATTTCCACTTCTATAATAAGTAAGTAGTGTATGTATCTGAATATTTTCTTTCTTTTGTCTGTTTTAATTGTGTTTATTGTTATTTCCGACTCTGTTGTGCTGTATCCTGCAGACAAAGTTAATACCATCAAAAGTCCAGCCATGAACAACATGAATCAAAGATTTCTGGCTGTGTCTCAGTCATTAAAAATACATCCATCCCCATAATTATATTGTATCTATATTTCAAATACAGTGCCTATTAGCGGGAAAACTCCATCTGCTCTGTGCAACACGCGGCGGCTCCATCAAAAAAAGATGAGGCATGTATTTTATCAGATTCTGGGATGCTTCTGAAATGCGCTCCGGCGAGCCTGCTGAAATTACAAGAATTATCTGGAGTGGCCGCGATCAGCTCGAGCAGCCATCTGGCGTAGATCTGAACTCTACTGAGTGCACGTCTCTAGTTTCTTCTTATGTCTATGTGTTTTGGTCATAAACAGCCAGTACACCTTTGCTTTGGCTGGAGACAGCAGCAGCAGACATAGCAGTAATGAAAGTGTGGCTTAAGTCATTACAGCCCACTCTTGTGTGCTTAATTTTACATCTGCCATCAGAAGACATCATCTGCCTCAAGTTTATTTTTGTCTTAGTCAGTCTTTACTAGCACAATTTAACCTGAAACAATTTAACCACAATTTATACATGTTTTTATGCTGTGTTTATCATTAATGCAAAGTACTGCTCGCTTTCTGTGTGTGTGTGTGTGTGTGTGTGTGTGTGTGTGTGAGAGAGACTGAGTGAAAGAGAGTATGTTGGTAAGTGTATGTGTGAAAATGTGTGGGTTAGAGGTATTTCTCTCTGGGTATTTGAGCATTTGATATGCCGTGTACAGAGCGGTGACCTGTGATAAAACGTCAGACTGCAGAGTGTCATGGGAATTACTGCAGCGCAGCGTGGTCGATTGCACCTGTTACCCAAGTATAGCAATAACCGAATGGTAAATTCTTCTGGATGGTGCGCTATTCTCCGGGGGGCTGTGACATACGAGAAATTGTTTACCGAGTTCATGTATGTGTGATTGAGAGGGACGCACTCAAAGAGCCTGCACGCTCCTTAACCTGTGAGCTCCTGGGTAATATCCTGTTTCTGTGACTGGTGGCCAATTTTCCATGTGAAGACATAATTTGTCCTTCATCATGAGGCAAATAGGAACAAAACATCTCTGAATACAGAGCACAAACGTTAAATGGTGTTCATAGCCACCAAGTGTTGTTCACTGGAGATGCAGTAAAGTCTAACATTAATGAAAACCTTGAACAGTTGTTGGTGAATATGTCCCCCCTGACTATAATGTAATTCTGTGATATCTGACAGGAGATTGTACAGACATTCAGTGTGATAACTGTTAAGTGTACTAGAGTTACAGTTTATCACACATGGTGGTCAAAGCTTTTATGACACTTGTCCTGAGTTTCCCCTTTTACACAAGCATGAACTGTGAAGCGAGACATAAAAGCTTCATTAGTTAAAATCAAAGATCCTTTTATTTGGTCCCCAAATGGCTCGGCCTGCTCAAATAAAATTTCAAAGGCTTGCTCATGAATGTAAAGTGTGTCACCAGTAATTTCAGTGTGATCTTTTTTATTTTGATCTGTTTTGTTAGTGTGGTGGTGCTACAGTGTGGCAATAATTGCATCTTTTGTCGAGGCAAACAAATGAGGGTCTTTCTGTGATCCGATGACCTTCAAATAGTGGAAAAGTATTTGCTTTTTAAAATTTTAATCACAGCATGATTATTGGAACTGCCTGTAGTCATGGGTCAGTCAGATGACTGGTTTCTTGCTGATCATTAAATACAGCTGTGAAGCTGTTAACCAACCAAATTTAAAAAGTTGTGATGCTATGCTTTGTAAACTAAAAGATGATGCTTTTTGCAAAGACACTTTCACTGATGTGACTTGTGTGTTGTTAGTAAATGTTGCTGCTGGTGATGTGACATGAATCGCTTGCTGGTAAATGTGCATGGGAGGGGCTGAAGGAAATGTGATTATGGGTCGCATTGCCCTTTGCATGTAAACTGCATTTAAAAAAATGTTTTTAAAAAAGGCAAACTAATACATGCTCTATGGTAGGTGAGTTGTACGGTAAACTCACATGAAGCTACTGACCCAGTGACATCTTAAACTACATATACATGCCCTGTGTGACTGTGCTGAGAGGACTCACACTGAGCGAGTATGGTAACCATCGCCGTCTTGAACTTGTCTTTGGCCTCTTCCACCTCCTTCTCGTGCTGACTCTTCTCGCTCAGCAGCCGGCGGATGTGGCTGTTGGACGACTGGATCATGGAGTAGAAGTTGTTGGCGTTCCTGCGGTTGACTTCACCTCTTTCCAGCCAGGTCAACAGCACATGCACCGCCTCGGGAAACCTGTTGTCATCTAAGGAGAAGGGAGGAGATGAAGTCTGGGTCAATATGAGCGTGGTGAGATAAAGAGAAAATGTGCCTCAGTATATTTACTATCAGCAGCATACACTGCTCTCTGCATGTACGGGTTAGATGGTGTGACTTGTCCACCTATACCTTAAACAGTTGCTACAGAATATTAATATTTGGGAGCTGGTCTCATTGGACTCATTGTAAATTATTCTGAATGACTTGGACGAGGACACACCTGTCTGTAGATGTTTTTATGTTTGAAGAATTTTTTTTGATGTCTTGTAAGTCTGTAATTTATTCATTGTTTTCTTTTTAAATTGTTATACGTTTGTTATATGTCTGCAACTGTGTTACTTGTGATGCTGCCTGTCTTGTCAGGACACTCTTGGAAAGAGCTTTCTAATCTCAGTAAGTCTTTTACTTCTGGTTAAAAAAGGTTATATAAAAATAAATAAATAAAAAGTCTGGGCAGAAGTCAAGGAGAAAGGAGACTACATAAGAAAGTCAAGGCAAGTCAGGTTTATTTAAAGAGCACATTTTAAAACTAGAATTATGGCCTCATGGTTGTCTAACTCTACGAACCAGTCAACCTGCACTTATAGTATTCATCCATATTCATAAAAATATGGGTGCTTCACACACATCTTCCCCCCTGCAGCACAGGAAATCTATATGATCAGCACACCCAAGATTAGTGTCACCATTTCAGTATCTGACCAAATGTCTCACTTCCTGTTCCTGATATGACGTTGAGTGATGGCCTAATAGCCCCTAGAAAAATGTTGTTAATAGAACATTATGATGTCACAGTGAAGCTGACCTTTAACCTTTTGAATATTAAAATGTCATCGCTTCATTATTTTGTTCTATACACATTTTAGGGCCGACAACTGAAAATGCCTGAACACCTTTGTGTTCATCTTTCATCTTTCAGCAAAGAACATTACAAGGTTCTGAGGGGTAAATGGGGAGAACTTTTCTGACGTGTGTTCTGGACAACAACTATAAACCAACATCCAATTTATCAGGTTTCTTTGAGTGCAGTGACCCATTTATTTTCACATGCTCAGAGAACGGGGCAGGCCTCCCCGAAGGTCCGCCGCTTTTCCCGGTCCCTCTTCTCCACACTTTGGGCTCTAGTTTCGCAGACCGGGCGAGGCGGGGGCGCAGCGCACCTGCGCTTAGCCAACTGGGTGTGGCCAGGCGGATTTAGCAAGTTTGGCACACCGTGCGCCTGGCGCAGCTACTCGTCTGTCCCACCTCCGTCCCTCCTACCTGCACAAGTCAGAAAGAGGGAGGAGAGAAGGCGTGGAGTGGGTTTTACACACATCACACCAATCAAATGAGCCCCTCTCCTCGCCCTTAAATGCGCCGCACGAAGGTGTAATGAGAGTTTACTCAATTCGCCATTGCAGAAGAGAGCAGCAGCGTCAGACGGCCAAACTTCTCCCAGGAGGAA